GCAGGGACGCCAAGCCAGGACCAGGTCCCCTGACTCTGGCCTGGGCACTTGAGGCAGGATGTAGAAGTGGAGCCCACCTCCCACCAGAAGCTGTTGCCAGCAGGAGGGATTACTAAGTGTCCACGCTGGTGTCCAAGCATGATGTGGAAGAGGAGGGAAAAAATAGACTGGGTGGGATGAACTGCAGGGCTGGGGCCCAGTACCCAGAAGGCAACCTGGAAGCCCTTTACCTCGGATTCTCGACAGGACATGAACTTTAAAACAACGTGTTTAAGGTACTCGAAGTTGATCTCGCGGGCGTCTGTCAGGTCTGCGTTATTTGTGACGGAAGGGGTCATGTTTGCCATCTCAGGGCTGGGCCTCTCTCGGACTTCAAAAAGCTCATTATCAGGTCTGATTTTCTGGAAAAACAATGGGAAAGAGGCTACAATAAAGCCTTCTAGACACATCTAGAAATCACATGGGAGATTCACTTGGCCTGAGTGTGGTCACCTGTTCCTTTGTCACATCCAGAACACTGGAAAACAAGGACCACCTGGGAAGGCAGCCCTAGTTGGATGCAGGCTCAGCTCCTTGAGGGAGTGGGGTCATGGAATACATAACCCCAGGGCAGTGAGCACTCCAGCCTGGAGCCAGAGGTACTGCCCCACCTAGGCTGGGCCCAGCACTCTGCCATTTGCACACTGTACAGATATCACTCCAGGGCAATCCCTTTCCTGCTAAGGATGCAGGATGCAAGTTCAAAGGAGGCAGGCACATGCCAGAGGTCACATAGCCACCTCTTGGAGGCATAGGCTGGCAGGGCCACTATCCCATTGCTAGCATCTGATTTTCCAAAGACCCCTTACAATCACTGGAGGCGGGGGAGGGGAGTGTCATCAGGCACCAGGGACCCCAGGAAGAACAAGCACCAGGGAGGGCACAGGCAGTGCACAGTGTGGCACTCACCAGCTCCTTCTGCAGAGTCTTTTTGAGTTCCAGCATCCGTTGCTGCATCTGCTTTATGGTCTGAGACAAACCCCCAGCCCCGCAAAAAGCCATTAGATCCACAGTTCACCATGAAAGTATGTAAAGGAAAACAGAACAAAAAGACACCTCTTGGCCCCTGTATGCCTCCTAGTCTGAGAAGCCCTCCTGGAAGGCTGTGCTCCATGTCACACCATGTGCCTTCACGCTCTCTCTCCCTCATACTGCCCCCCACAGCCCTGGCTCTCTAGGTCCCATGATGGCCACTGCACTCCTGTGGCACATCCCCTGTGTCCATGTGAATGCCCAGAGCTGGGGCCAGTGCCTGCCTCTAACCAGCAGAGATGCAAGTGGTGCTGTATAACACTTATTTTTCTTCCAAATTATATTTATGTGTTATGATTCCCAGATAGGCCACGATTTATGTTCTCATCACCACTGTTGCTTTTTTAAAATTATTTGATTTTATTTATTCATTCATTTACTTTAATTTTACCAGAGAGAGACACACATGCAGAGAGAGAGAGAGAGAAAGCCACCAAGTCCAGGACTCGAACAGTGGTAGGCCATGTGGGAGTGTCCAGCACCTTAACCACCACACCACCTGCTGATCCCACCACTATTGCCTTTTTTTTTTTTTTTTTTTGG